CTATCTATCTATCTATCTATCTATCTATCAATCTATCTATCTATCTATCTAGCTGTAACGTATTGCACATAATAATATAGTATTCATATTATATCATTCTTTCTGTCTCCCCATCTCTCTCTCTCTCTCTTCTCTCTCTCGCCCTCTCTCTCTCTCTCTCTCTCTCTCTCTCTCTCTCTCTCTCTCTCTCTCTTTCATTATTTCTCTCATTGACTCCCTCTCTCCGTCATTGTTCCTTTGTGCCTGTCTACTCTTTGTTGGTCAGGTAATCTGTCTTTTTTTATTTCTCCTCAAAACGCTTGCCTTTTCATCTGTCCGTTAGCCTGTCTATTAATTATTCCAATTTGTTTCATTCACTTTATATTACTCAATTAATTCTTTCCACGGTCTCAGCAATCGACAAACGAATCAATGGTTTGCCTTTTCCGATCCTGGATTGCTTGATCGATAAACTGCATATCAAATGTTATCTCATTTATGCCTTAATTATTCAGGCAAGTCGCGACTTCAGAATTACAAGGGTCTATCTGACATATTTGACAATTTTCAGGTATTGAGACCATGAGATCAAAACCAAATGTTTTTATCTGCTCATCAAAATCGTAAGAATATTCGGAGCCGTTATTATCAAGATATTTAACAAATTGCATTTGAAAAAGCTTTACAAGATGTGAAGCTCAAAATTTTTTATGTCAAATATATCAAAAGCTGGGTCCTGAGCAGATAGAATTTTGAAATTCTGAGGTATCGAGGTGTCTTTGAAAAATTGTGTTTCTTAGTTGTTCGCTTTTACAATATTTGAATGAGTAACGAAGGCTTTTCGATTAAACTATTTAAAAAACCACTGTAGAAAAACACTAAGAGTCACACGTCCAGGTAAGTTTAGAGAAAATCAACATATTATTATGAAGTCCAAAATGACAGTCAGTTGTGCTTCTGTTGTTATGATATTTAGTTTAGTTTTAGTAAGTGTTTTACGGCACTTGCAACACAATTAGGTCAAATAAGTGCGGAAGATTAGAGGTGTTACAAGAGAGTAGCAAACACAAAGAAGAAGGAGGGGAGATAAAGAAGATAGAATGTTTGATAGGAAAGAAGAAGCAAACCACATCAGAGCACCCGACAATCACTCACTGTTATGATATTGGTGGTGATGGGTGGTGGTGTTGAGGTGGTGTTTTTAGCACGTGGTAGTGATTGTTTTACTGTTTTTACTATTGCTTTTGTTGTTGTTGTTGTTGTTGTTGTTGTTCTTTGTTGTGCTTCTGAGTTTGTTAAAGCTACTCGAATTGGTTTTGTTGTTATTTTTGTTATGGTTATTCTCGTCATTTATTTTGCTATTTTTTGTTAGTGTTATTCTCGTCACTAGTTTATTGGTGCTCTTATTTATATTTTATTTGATGTCGCTATTGCTGGTGTAAATTATTTGGTTGTTTCTGTTGTTGTTGTTGTTGTTGTTGTTGTTGTTGTTATTGTTTTTGTTGTTTGTTGTTATTGCTGTTATTTCTTATTGTTGTTATTGTTGTTATTGTTGCTATTGCTGCTATTGTTATTATTATTGATGCTGTTAATATTATTATTGTTATTGTTGTTATTGTTGTTATTGTTGTTATGTCTGATTTTGTTGTTGACGCTGCTTGCTGTTATTGTTCATATTGTTGTTACGGTTGTTCTTGTCGTTCCTCTATTGGTGTTGCTTTTACTGCTCCTGCTGCTGTATACCCTTATAAGCGTAAAAAATCGGGTCCCCTTTATTTTTTACTGAACTCCTCATATCACTCGTAGTTATACCCTGCGGTGCTGAAATCCCTCAAAACACACCACGTCGAGGCCCTTTTTTATAACGCTCTCACATGTTATATTGACGTTCGGGATTTGTTTTTCGCACTCCCGCCTAAACAAAGAGGTGATTTTTTTTTCTATTTGGATTGCGTTTTGTTTTTGCTGCATTTTTTTTTAGTTGTCCAGCCTCGCAGACTAAATAAAGACATTCGTTTTTATCTTCTTTGAGAGTTCAGGGTCGTTATATTGCCAAGTAGGGTTCAATGTTTGGTTAACACCGCACGTGGATGTAGTTTTAAAAATAATAAAATTTATTTTATTTTATTTTATT